AAGGTCAGATCTTAATTATCATCTTAGCTACACATCACTAGGATTTGACATAGATATTTACTCCCCTTTTGAAATATTCCCTTGCTTCAACATTCTGGATTTCTTCACTCTACACTGGCTGCTTGTTTGACTACTGCAGAGCACAGTCTTCAGGTCTTGCGGTATCCAGGATCACTCTTAATTAATTTCATAATATGCCGACAATTTCTGATTTACCTGTCTAGCCCACAACTTTTTCCTAAACTCTAGGCTTGCATGTCCAACTTGACATCCTCCTTTGGATGTCTAATAAGATTCTGAATCCTAACATGTCCACAACTGAACTTTTGATCTTCCCACTCAAATCCAAACCTCCTACAGCCTTCCTCATCTCATTAACTGGCAACTCAGTCTCAGTCTTTTTATGTGGTCAGAGAAATAAACGTTATCCTTGGCTCCTTTCTTCTCTCATATCCCACATCAAGTCTAACAGCATATCCATTTTATAACTTCAGCATTTGTCTGGAATCTGAGTACATCTTCTACAGTGTTTGGTCTAGTCCATGCTACCATCGTCTATGAAATTATCGCATTTCTGATGATGGAAATAACTTCCTTCCTAGTCTCCCTGCTTTTGTCTTATGTCCCTTCTCCTTCTCCACACATGTCTGTTCCTAAATTGCAATCAGAGTGATTCTTTAAAAACGTAAGTCAGGGCTGGGTATTGTGGCTTACACCTCTAATCCCAGCACTTTGGGAGGCCAAGGTGGGAGGATCATTTGAGGCCAGGAATTTGGTATCAGTCTGGGCAACAAAGTTGAGACCTCATCTCTACTAAAAATAAAACATAAGTACACACATAAGTCAGATCATGTCTCTATTTCCCAAAACCCTCTAATGGCTTCCCATCTTGGAGCATAAAAATCAAAATCCTAGCAATGACCAACAAAGCTCTATACTAGTAGAAAAATGCAAGGCACATATATAATTTAAAATTTTCTAGCAGCCATTAGCTATCCAAAGTATAAAGGAAATAAGTGAAGTTGATTTTAATGTTATTTAAACCAGTAAAGCAAAATATTATTTCAGCATATAATCTGTGTAATAAGTTATTAATGAAATTAGTTGCAAAAATAGCAAGTAGCAAGTCTTCAATATCTGACATGTAGTTTATACAATTTGGATGCTAAGTTTTTATTGGAAATACCTGATTCATACTTAGGTGTCATGACATTTATAATTGAAAATATGACTCATATACCCAAGTAGTTCCAAATCATTCTTAAAAGTTTTGAAATAACTGAATCCCATATTGATTTCTTAATTTTAAAGTTTAAAATATAAACAAAATTTACTTCCTAGTCACATTTCAAATTTCAAATGCCATATGAGGCTAGTGGCTGGCTTACTGGACAGCAGCTCTTTACCATCTGGCCCCTGTTCTCTGACCTCATCTCCTGCCGATTTCTCCTTTGCTCATTCTGCTGCAGCTATAATGGCCTCCTAGTCTTTGATTATGACAGATACTTCCCATTTTAGGACATTTATATTTGCTGTTCTTTTTGCCTAAAAAAACTCTATCCCTAGATGAGTGCATAGTCTCTGCTCCTTCACCTTCTTCAAGACTTTGCTCAAGTATCACCTTTCTTTTTTCATTTTTTGAGACAGAATCTCACTCTGTCACCCAGGCTAGTGTACAGTGGCATGATCTCAGCTCACTGCAACTTCCACCTCCCAAATTCAAGTGATTCTTCTGCCTCAGCCACCTGAGTAGCTGGGACTACAGGCATGTGCCACCACACCCTGCTAATTTTTTTTTTCTTTTTTTTTTTTTTTGTATTTTTAGTAGAGATGGGGTTTCACCATATTGCCCAGCTTGGTCTTGAACTCTTGACCTCTTGATCCACCTGCCTCGACCTCCTAAAGTGTTGGGATTACAGGGATGAGCCACCGTGCCCAGCCCAAATGTCACCTTTTTAGATGTTCTTTCTCTTAACCCATTTTAATACCTGTACAAATTGCCTTCTCTTCCTAGCTCTTACATTTCTAGCCTGCCTTCTGAAAGGAGAGAGAAGAGGACTGGGAGGAGAGAGGTGATCTGATCTAAAGGGAAAAGCAGTGAAATACCAGAATTGTCCTATACAGACGAATGAATACATTAGGTGAAAGTACAGAGTAAAATAATGTTGAATAAGTGATCATATCCCTTCAGCTTGCTTGCTGTCTGAGCAGCTTATAGGATTATTTTTGTGTGTACATGACAACCCTTTATAGATTGTAAGTTTCCTAAATGCAAGGCTCTGCTTTAATGTCCTCTTACACCTTCTTTGGCATTTAGCATGTAACTTTGACCAAAAGGCAGTGTGAAATCTCCAATTATGAGCCACCTATTGGTTAGCGTTTTGTGTTTTACATTCTGTAGTTGCCTCTCTATCCTGTTTTCAGTGCCAGTAACTATTATACTTGCTGATCATTTACTTGTGTTGGCTTCACATGTCCCATGGCTATGATTGTGACATTGATTCTTTCTCTTTTTGCTTGTCCATTCTGGTACACTTTTACTCATTTTCCAAAGCCAACTCCAGAAAGAAGCCTTCCCTGATTCTCCCAGTTTACAAACACCCTCCTTAGTCCTTCCTTTATGTTGTGTATACCGTAATTCTTATATTCTAATAGGGAAATAATCATGTAAACATGGTAACAATATGAATTCTTGAGAACAGGGGCTGTGTGTTACTAAATTTTTCTTTATTAAACAAAAATTTATTTTTAATGCCTTCCTCAGTGCCTTGTTTAGGTACTCAGTGCATGTTATATTGAATGAACCTGGCACAGAGCAGCAAAGAGAGTTGCTATTAATGGGGGAATTTTATGTTAAGATACATGTCATTGACAGGTAAGAGATTTGGAGCTATAGAGAGTGAAGATAGAGAAAACAGTAAAATCAAAATCAAATCTCTGGTTAGGAGGGTCTTAGGTACTTAGAAGAACTTACTATGTTAGAAAGCTCAGAAAACCTGTAGTCAAATGGAGTGGCAAAACTTACTGTTTATATTATAGTAATGCTTTTTTCAGTTCTGCTCTAGCTTTTGCTCTTCATATATTGTTTCTCAATATGTTTGTACAGCTATTTGTGTCTTTATTTTACATTTGATGATCTGACAAACGGGTAAAGATCATGAGAAGCCTCAAATTTGTAAACCGAGGGAGTGGGCAGATTATTATTGAGAGTCCTTCTAACTCTGTGATCCTGTTATTTTGAGGAAAACAGATTCTGTTAGCAGGTGCTTTAATGGTATCCTGGTGAGCACAAGAATTTTAATCACTTTTGCTTCTTTGTTCCACTGTTTATTCTTTACAAATGAAGTGCATGCTAAAAGCAAGCATTTGAGCTGGATGTAGTGGCACACATCTGTAGTTAAGTTACTTGGGAGGCTGAGACAGGAGGATTCTTTGAACCCAGGAGTTTGAGAAAAGCCTGGCCAACATGGTGAAACCTTGTCTCTACCAAAAATACAAAAATTAGCTGGATGTGGTGGTGTGCACCTATAATCCCAGCTACTTGGGAAGCTGAGGCAGGAGAATTGCTTGAACCTGGGAGGTGGAGGTTGCAGTGAGCCGAGATCGCACCACTGCACTCCATCCTGGACGACAGAGCAAGACTTCATCTTGGAAAAAAAGAAAATATGTGTTGACTTAGTTAACTATATTATCAGAAAACTAGAGTTTGTGTAGTTCTCCAGAGGTAATTTTTGGTGGCTTAAAAGTTTAAACTGGCACTGTACCGTGGTAATTAACTCTGTCACTGATTTGGAGTTCAGAGTAAATTGGAAAAGTTATTTTTTCCTCCCTATAATAATTCATTGCTAATGGTGGGGGGTAGTATATAAAGATACTTCAGCAGGCATCGGAAAAAACGAGCAGGGGACACAACCTTTTCTCTGATTCTTAAATACGGGTTATTTGTTTTAAATAATGTTAAGTGTCAAAAATTAAATATTAAAAAAGGGTTATCCTCTAAAATAAGTATTACAAGAAATACATAATAGAACAAACTCCACAATACAAATGAAAAGGAGGTAAGTGTTTCCCCTTTGTATTCTTTCTAATTTTACCCACCCTTATCCAGTTCAGTTGAGACAGCTTGGTGACCTACAAATCACCCTAATTCGTAATTGTTTTTCTTCACAGAAAGTGTGACAACTTCTTCCTTTATTTATTTATACTTCTGCCCCCAGCAGTGCAGCTCCTCTACGTTAGTCTAAGGATTTTCTCTTTTACCTAGACTACCTCTTACAGACTATTTCATGAAGCCCTTACTCTTTTCCCTGGCTGAGAGCCAGATTTTTGTCCTTCCGTGTGTGCTAAATTACAGAAGTAACATTCCTGTCTATTAATCACACATATGTGACATCCAGCAGTTAATGAATAAACTTAGCTTGCTGTTAAGTATATATGCTAACATACATGCCTAGGTCTTCTGTTGGCAAAACTTGCAGAGCTCACCACAAAGGTCCCACTGTCTAGCTATGTGTTTAGTGAGAACTAAGTGTCTTCTTTCTTCTCTCACTGTTTATCATGAGCCTTTTTTCAGACTAATTTAATAAAATATTTACAAAAATATACTTAATATCTTTCTGATGATTCTTTTGAATGAACAGTTATGTGCTTTGTAATTATGTTGATTTTCTAAACTCTCCTGCTAGTTTCAAGACTTAGTAAAATGTATAGTATACCATGGACATTCTTACTTTTGAAATTGGGCATTCTTAGAAGAAAAATACTGATCTTTGACATCTTGAACTGAACACTACAGTTTCCCATTATTTTGATACCTGAGAGAGAAAAGTCACCTGCTTAAGTATTTCATATCATAAGGAGGCAAAATTAAGTATTTAATAGAAATTTTAATGCATCTACCATAAGTTAAATTATCTAGTCACTTGATATTGTGGGTGATGCTGTGAATTTGTGATTTTGCATGGCTTCAGATGTCATAATTTTTCCCCCCCACTTTCTAGGAAGTAACAGCTAGCAGTCGCCACTATGTTGACAGGCTATTTGACCCAGATCCCCAGAAAGTTCTACAAGGTGTCATGTAAGTAGTATGTATTTAAGAGTCTATCAAAAAGTTGTTTGTTTTCATGTTTTAATCTGCCAAATACTTTAATTTTGAAAATACAGGATTATACCTTTTTTCTTTCATTTGGCTTTTTTTCTAGAAAGACTGACATTCATAGCATTTAATATTTTACAGTAAAGAATTGTCTTTTCAGTAGTTGTTAACAGAGATGGTTAGCTTCATTTTTTGTAGAACACTTGTTTCACATTTAAAAAAATGTTTTCTTTGGAGAATGCTTTTGCTTCTTTAGTATCCACAAAAGCAGGAGAATAAGATTGATGGTCTTTCATAATTGAAATGCAGTGAAATAATAGATCAGTAGGGTTTTTTGTTTTGTTTTTGGTTAACTCATTAACTGTCACCAAGATTGATTCTCCTATTGATGTTTTAAATTTAGAATTTAGAAAGCTGTCAAAATTTAAGTAAATTCTTAATAACTTAAATGCCTTTTTTCCCTCCAAAATTTCATGTTTAATGAGAGGAAACATTTTAAAGCAATATACCAGAAGTAATTATGCTCTTAAAAAATTAAGAGGAGCAAATAGAATAAGATTTCAGAAGATTTATTCCCTTTCCTTTTGAGTTTCAGATTATCATACTCTTAGCACATTAGTTCTAAGGAGGAAGGACTAGACTAAGGCTCATCATGGGGTTGGGAAATGTGAAGGATCCACAGGCCTGAACTGTGTCTATGGGAAGAAGGATACAAAAAAGTGTCGAGATACATTTCAGTAATGGTGAGGGCACCTAAAGAGGGACGCCTCTTCTTTTTCACTGATCCCATAAACGTTGTCAGCCAAATAGTACTTTAACTTGTGCTCAGCCATGGTAAGGCTAGGATGCTGTGTTTATACAAGCTTCTTCAGACTGTAGTTCTTAAAGCCTTTCTCTCCAAAGGCATTGTAGGAAGGATGCTTTGGAGTTGTGAATTTATAAAGAGAGGTAAGATAAAAATGCTGTAAAACTGCTTGACTATTCGAGTTGAGCTGGAAGGGATGGTGAGAAGCTAGTTAGGATCTTCCCTAGATCCTGGACACTTACTTTCACGTCGTCTTGGTTTACAAAAAACGATATTTCTGGCTTTCTCATTATGTTAACTTTGCCTTTGTCCTCTTAAGTAGGAGACTTTGTAATTATTTAATGACTCCTCTTAAGACTAGTTTAATTATTGCCAGGAAAAATGGTTTATTAAATTCATATGTTAAATAAATCCATTTGGGTTGTACCTACACACGCAAAGTGGTCAAGGGGGCAAGTTTAACTTGACATTCTTCCTTAGACAGATAGTCTCCATACATAGCCAGATAGCTCTGGATGTAGATAATTCTAAATGTTACTTAAAATTTCTCAATAAATGGTTAAGAATGTTAGACTTAAGTGTTCAATAAATAATTATAAAATATGATGCTATTATTGCTACTATGTTTAGGAGAAAACTAAATTTAGTAATCAAGGATTCTGTGTGATAGACTTATAGAGTTCTATCTAAGTCGCTGATTCAAATGTTGTCACTTTGAGAAATTTTTTACTTACCAAAGAACGCTGTAGTTTCTCAAAAATTGATAAAATATCAAATAAATGATAAAAGAAAAATGGGGAAGACAGAATTACAACAAAGAAGCTAAAATGTAGTTAGATAGCCTTAGTGTTTTTTGAAAAACTACCAGTCTGAGACCTAATTAGCTGTCAGGTAGGCATAAAGAAACGTTTGTATGAAAGAATGGTAGAATAGAAAGAGCATGGGCTTTGGAGTTGGACAGTAGTGGGTTGAATTCCTGATTCTGACATTTTCTAGTATGGTTCCTTTCTACCTGTGCTTGGACAAGTTTTGTAATTTCATTGAGCCTCAATTTCATCATCTGTAAAGATAAGATAACACTGTCCATCTTGCCAGGTTAATGTGAGAATTAAGTGAGAATTATAAAATTCAATGTCTGATGCGTTGTGGATCATTTGGCACTTAAGTGGTTAGTTGTTATGAGCCCCAGTGTAAAACAACTTGAAAAATAAGATAATTGTCCTCAAAGAAGAGAAAGGGGGGAAAAACTGAGAAGACAGTTCAAACTAATATAGAAGAGAGAGGGGGGCTAAAATTCCTGACTCAGACAAGAGAATGTGAATGATAACACATTCTAGTAAACATGATTGCTACTTAAAATACTAAAATCTGTTCATAGTTTGAAGGGGACAGATGACCCAACATTTTTTTACTTTATCTCAGCATAGTACTGATCTTATGGAGATATATGTGTAGTGTGATTTGATAAAGCTTCCTTTTCTCCAGATAGAAATATTTATTCTTCCTGACTGACTTCTTTCTTGAACTTTGGCACTGTCTGAAAATTAATTGTACATGGTCAAGAGAATAACAAGTGAATTACTTTTAACATTATCTGTTTTTAAGTAATCTTGTTTAATATAATATGGATAGAAAAAGGGAATGAAATAATATTTAGGAAAAGAGAGTTGACCAGTTCTTGAATTTTTTTTTTTTTTTAAATATACATCACAGCCATTACTGAGTTGCACAGAGACCACTACCAGACCAAAATAGGTAGGTAGAAAGATGGCCACAGAGTATAAACAACCAAAGGTAGCCTATTAATTTTAGGGAAGGAAAAGGTAGAGGCTGAAATAGCATTAAATCCAAAATATTTAATTGGAGGGACATAAAATAATTGACAAAAATTGTAGCTTTGACTACAAGCCAACCAGAGTTTTATCATTTTTCTGGCTATATTATGTTTGATTTTTCTCAATAAATATTGTGAACATATACCAGGCATGGTGGAAGGCACCTGTAGTACTAATTGCTTGGGAGGCTGAGGCGGGAAGATTCCTTGAGCCTAGGAGTTCAATACACAGTGAGACCCTATCTTGAAGACAAATAAGATTGTGAACGTGTGTAACACACTAGCAGGAAAAAACAAAACCAAATTAAAGATGAATAATGAGTCTTCATCATAGTCTACAATAATCTACTAGCTGAGTTAGGGCTCCACCTTTAAATATGAGGAGCTTCTTTGTAGATAGCCCACATCACAGTGGACCGTTTTACCTAGTCAGTGAATATGCCTTGTTGAAAGATAACATTAAGTATCAGAACTGCTTAACTTTCAGTTGTTGAAGAATGGGGAGTTATCTAGAGGTAACTTTGTTAAGTAGTAAAATAGCATAAACTTGAATGGTCCTGTTGTATAAAAAGTTTAAATACAAAATCAGGTCCTTTTATCGAAAAGCAAAATTTCATATGTATAACTGGATAGACAATCATTAAGTAAGGAGTAAGATATGAGCCAAAAGAAGAGGGAAGTCACTGTATAGGTCATAAGCTATAGCCTTTGAAACTGCAACAGAGAGTAGGTATGTCAGTTAAACTACGTTGCATTGCAAATTATGAGCTTCCTGTAGTATGGAGATCTGCATGTGACTTTAAAAAAAATTGCAGGACATTTTTTGGTTAAGTTACAGTATTGGTTCAACAATGTTAAATCTCATATTTGAGAAAGAATAACTTCATATGATTTTGTAAATCATGAGTGAAAGCTATTTAAACACTGTTTTGTTTTTTAACATAACAAATTAGAGCACTTGATTTGGTTTTAATGTTAGTGAATCTCAATGAAAAGATTAACAGAGGCCAGGCATGGTGGCTAATGCCTGTAATCCCAGCACTTTGGGGAGGCTGAGGTGGGCAAATCACTTGAACCCAGCAAGTCCAGCTTGGACAACGTGGTGAAACCCCATCTCTACAAAAATAAAAATTAAAAAAATTAACCAAGTGTGTAGTCTCCGCTACTCAGGAGGCTGAGGTAGGAGGATCTCTTGAGCCTAGGAGGTGGAGGTTGCAGTGAGCCAAGATTGTACCATTGCCTCCAGCCTGGGTGGCGAAGTTTTGTTTGTTTTTGTTTTTTTTTTTTAAA